ATGCTACTTGGTCGTCCATGGCTTCATGAGAATGGCGTGGTTCCGTTAACATGGCATCAATGCTTCAAATATTGCAAGAATGGCGTCGTGAAGACTGTTCTTGGTGATGATAAACCTTTTACGGAGGCCGAAACTCATTTCGCTGATGCCAAATACTATTTCAAAGATGAAAAATCAGTTGATAAAGTCTCGTCTAAGCAGCAAAATGGATCAAAAGGTGGAGAACCAAAGATTGAAAAGGTAGAAAACTCTTCGAAAGAGTTAGTGCTGCCACTGCCGAAGATAAATGACGATAAACCTATCTCCCAACCACCTATGAAGTTTGTTCGTCCAAGCAAAGGAGCGGTCACGGAGCATGGCGAAGGACTGAAGAATTCAAAGTGTTTTGATCCAAAAGCCTACAAACTTCTCATCAAAGCAGGATACAACCCCAATGAAAGTCACTCTTTGGGAAATCTCATACCTCAACAGCGAAAGCACAATCGGGCAGGTGTTGGATATGTGGCACCGAATCCAATTAGAATCGCCATCAAGAGAGCAAACGCCAACCATGTCTCGGAAGGAGAGTTCCCGTCCAATGACGGAGAAAAGAAAGAAAAAAGAGTGTCGGTGTTTCAAAGACTCGGTCCAGTTCAGAAGTCTAGGGGCAAACAATCTGTGTTTAAGCGACTTGGATCATCTAAACCGTCAAAGCCTTTAAGACAAGAAAGAGGCGCGGGCCCGGCTCCAAAGCTTAGAAGTCGAATTCCATCACGCATGAAATGTCAAACGACTTTAAACATATCATGTGGGAAAGTTTTTGAGCACATGATCGTTCATACAAGAGTGCAGGACGATGAAGATGAAGATAGAGAAAGTGTCGCTTCGTCTTACTATGCTTGCGGTACTCTTGCAACTCCTCGAGATGATGGAAGTTCTCTTTACCGAAAGATAGCTTATTTAGTGAGAAAAGGGTATATCACTGGAGTTGATGAAAATCTGCAGACACCATTTGTCGCAGGAAGAAATGGACGTGTGAGACCATGCATCGACTTCAAAACTCCTAGTGAGCCGATCAAAGATATTGCACTTGTGAACCACATCACTATATGCGAGGATACTCTGATAGAAGAGGAAGATGCTGAAGACGCACCTCCCGAGCTTGAAGAAGGTGTCAAGGCCACAATCGACGAACTAAAAGAAATCAACTTGGGTGACGTTGATGGTCCTCGCCCAACATACATTAGCGCCTTGTTAACTGTAGATGAAGAGAAGGCCTACATAGAGCTTCTTGGTGAGTTTAAGGATGTGTTTGCATGGTCGTACAAAGAGATGCCTGACTAGACCCGAAGGTGGCGGTGCATAATTTGTCCGTGAAAAAGGGGGCAAAACCTGTTAAACAAGCACAAAGAAGATTTCGTCCCGAGTTGATCCCGTTGATTGAAGCAGAAGTGGATAAACTCATTGAAGTTGGTTTCATTCGGGAGGTCAAATATCCTACGTGGATCTCGAGCATCGTTCCTGTCAGGAAGAAAAATGGTCAAATTCGAGTTTGCGTGGATTTTCGAGATCTTAACGAGGCGTGTCCCAAGGATGACTTCCCATTGCCTATAACTGAACTCATGATCGATGCTACGACGGGACATGAAGCTTTGTCTTTTATAGACGGATTGTCAGGATACAACCAGATACGCATGTCGCCAAAAGACGAGGAGTTGACGGCATTTCGCACTCCAAAGGGTATATACTGCTATAAGGTAATGCCTTTCGGATTGAAGAACGCTGGAGCTACATATCAAAGGGCAATGCAAAAGATATTCGACGATATACTGCACAAGAACATCGAGTGCTACGTTGATGATGTGGTGGTGAAGTCGAAGAAGCGAGAAGACCACCTCAAAGATTTAAGAATGGTTTTTGAATGCCTAAGAAGATATCAACTCAAAATGAACCCGTTGAAGTGTGCATTTGGTGTCAAGTCGGGGAAGTTTCTTGGATTCATTGTCCGTCATCGTGGAATAGAGATCGAGCAAGCAAAAGTCGATGCAATACTAAGAATGCCCGAGCCTCGCAACATTCATGAGCTTAAAAGTCTACAAGGGAAGTTGGCGTACCTTCGAAGGTTCATCTCAAATTTAGCCGGACGATGCCAACCTTTTAGTCATCTAATGAAGAAAGGTGTTCCTTTTGAGTGGGATCAATCTTGTACAAATGCTTTTGAAAGCATAAAGGCCTATTTAATGAAGTCTCCTGTGTTAATTGCGCCAGTGGCTGGTCGTCCTCTTATTCTCTACATAGCAGCACAAGAATGCTCTGTTGGAGCTGTGTTGGCTCAAGAAAATGATGGTGGAAAGGAGAGTGCCTTATATTATTTGAGCAGAACGATGACACCAAATGAGTTGAACTATTCACCGATAGAGAAAATATGTTTGGCGCTGATCTTTGCAATTCAAAAGTTGAAGCATTATTTTTAAGCTCATACGGTTCGTCTTGTTTCAAGGGCAAATCCATTGAAGTATGTCATGACAAGACCCGTCCTCTCAGACCGTTTAGCTAGGTGGTATCTTCAACTTCAACAGTTTGAGATTGTCTACATCCCTCAAAAGGCAGTAAAAGGACAAGTTCTGGCAGACTTCTTAGCCGATCACCCTATTCCTGCTGAGTGGGAGTTGTCCGATGAACTACCCGATGAGAACGTTCTTCTCATTGAAATTGCTTCTCCTTGGAAGATGTACTTTGATGGAGCGTCTCATAGAGAAGGAGCTGGTGCTGGAGTTGTCTTTGTGACATCCCATGGAGAAGTGCTTCCGTATTCCTTCACTTTAACTGAAAATTGCTCAAACAACGTCGCGGAGTATCAAGCTCTAATTCTGGGGTTGGAGATGGCCGTGGACATGAAGCAACTACATCTGAAGGTCTATGGAGATTCAAAGCTGGTGGTAAACCAACTTCTTGGAGAATACGATGTAAAGAAGCCTGAGCTGCTCCCGTACGTCGACTATGCGAATAGACTCATGGGATGGCTTGGAGATGTTACGATCGAACATGTGCCGAGGAAGAATAATAAACAAGCTGATGCTTTGGCGAAACTCGCTTCTTCACTCATCCTTCCTGAGGATAGGGCTCGAGTTCAAATTTGTAGAAGTTGGGTTATACCTCCGATTTTCGACAATGATGATTGGAATGAAGATGAAACACATGTGGTTGAAGTATTCGATATTTTAAAGGAAGATTGGCGTCAATTGCTCGTGGATTACTTGAAGTGTGACAAGTTGCCCAATGATCCACGACAAAGGGTTGATCTTCGACGTCGTGCGCCTCGCTTCGTTTATTTCAATGATGTATTGTATAGACGGTCGTTCGATGGAATATTCTTAAGATGCCTAGGCGACGACGAAGCTGCTCAAGCTGTTGAAGAGGCTCACTCGGGCTTCTGTGGCGCTCATCAGTCTGGTCCGAAGTTGCACTTCCGAATTAAGAGAATGGGATACTACTGGCCGACAATGGTTAGAGATTGTATGGACTATGCCCAAAGATGTCAAGCGTGTCAATTTCATGCAAATTTGATCCATCAACCTCCTGAGCCGTTGCACCCAACTGTCGCTTCATGGCCTTTTGATGCTTGGGGATTAGATGTGGTTGGTCCTCTAACAAAGTCTTCAGGTGGTCATCTTTATATTTTGGCTGCAACTGACTACTTCTCAAAATGGGCTGAAGCGGTTCCCTTGAAAGAAGCGAAGAAAGAAAATGTTGCTGACTTCATTCGTGTAAACATCATCTACCGATATGGAATCCCACGGTACATCATAACGGATAATGGAAAGCCTTTCAGCAACAGCCTGATCGATAAGCTTTGCGAGAAGTTCAACTTTAAGCAAAGAAAGTCTTCTATGTACAATGCGGCGGCCAATGGACTCGCTGAAGCGTTCAATAAGACTTTATGTAGTCTTTTGAAGAAGGTCGTAGCTAAGTCAAAGAAGGATTGGCACGAAAGAATTCATGAAGCGCTTTGGGCGTATCGCACCACTTATCGGACTCCCACTCAAGCGACCCCGTACTCACTTGTATATGGTGTTGAAGCTGTCGTTCCTCTCGAGCAACAAATTCCATCATTGAGGATCGCCATACAAGAAGGGTTGACTGAAGAAGATAATGCACGACTGCGCCTTCAGGAATTAGAAGCTCTTGATGAGAGGAGGTTGGAAGCACAACAAAGACTTGAATGTTATCAAGCTCGTCTTTCAAAATCGTTCAATAAGAAGGTCCGAGCTCGTTCTTTTCAAGTAGGAGATCTGGTGCTTGCTGTGAGAAGACCCATCATAACTACTCATCGTGTTGGGAACAAATTCGTGGCAAGATGGGATGGACCGTATGTCGTCACGGAAGTCTACACCAATGGCGCGTATAAGTTGATTTCGGAGGATCGAGTCAAGATTGGCCCTATCAATGGGAAATTCTTGAAACGCTACTACGCTTAGTTGTACTATGTATTAATTTCAAAAAAAAAAAAATTATAAAAAAAGAGAAGAAGAACTCCTGATCCGCATGAGTATAAACTGTGAGAGGTAATCCCCAAAAAGCTTTTCATGTGATTAAACTGCTAAATTCTCCACCAATGTGAATATATGTGGTTAAACTGTTAATTCTCCACTAAGGTGTTATGTGGTTAAACCTAATACTCTACTTTGTCTAAAAGTAGTTAAAGAATAGTCACTCCTGGCCCGCATGAGTATAAACTGTGCACGGCACCCCCCCTAAACAAATTCATGTTACTTTGAACTACGTTATGACTTGATCCTTTTAAAAGGTACGTAGGCAGCTTAGATATTTTCTAAGTTCAGTCATAAATTATGTTCGTCTTCTAAGTTAGTCAATTTTGATTGATTTGACGAGGAAATGAAGTGCAACAAATGATAATGTTCGAGATTGAGATTGCATGATGTAAAAAGAAACAAATCATTCCATTCCATAACCTTGAGTCTTATTACATGAAGAAATAAACAAAAGAGTCGCAAACATGACTAAGCAAAAGGATTCAAGCTTCCTAGCTTCTCTTTAGTCACCTTCAAATTTGACTTCAACATCTTCAACTGTTCAACCACTTCTTCGTCCAATGGTGAAGCACTGCTGATGGCGAGGATATTCTCTTGAGTTAATTTCACCTGGGCCTTGCAACTGTCGAGTGACTCCTGCTGCTGCTTCAATGTCTGGGATAGTGTCTCTGCCTTCGTCTCCAACTGCTCAAGCTCTTCCGTGACTCGCTTTAGCTCAACCTGAGTGGACTTTACTTGATTTGATTCAATATCCTCCTTCACCTTATCTTCACGAAGACGATCTTTAGCTTCGGTCAACTGTCGAGCAATTTGTTCCTTTGTCACCTTCTTCAAAGATTTTGACTGTGCCCAGTCGTAAGAGTCGGCGTTGTCGAATAAAGCCTTCAATGAGCTCTCGATAATGGAGAAAATTTGTTGGACTCGAAGGATGGTCATATCGACGGCTGATGTGGCTGGTCAACTTCAACGTGTGAACCTCATTAGTACAACCACCTTTGAGCTCTTCACGGGTGTCTTAAGCAACATTCGATATAAACATCGTCGCCACAACTATCTTTAACCTTCTTGGTATCTCGTCCAACTTGACGCGGTCCTCTTCAGCTAGTCCAATGTTAACATGGTCATCTTTGGCCCTTAAGCATACATCTTCGACCTCTGCAGTAGCTCGTCTAGTTGTCATGTCTCCATTTTAAGCCTTTGCAGTCGTACATCTTGGCCGGTGAGATGTGTCGTCCTAAGTTGATGATGTGTGACAAACTTGATTCCTTTGTGTAGCTTGGCAAGGTTGATGGTTCATGCGAGCAGCTTAGCTTGTTGAGATGTGTTATCATAAGTTGAAATTGAACGACAAGGTTGATGGTTTCTTCGAGCAGTTTGGGTGTTGAGATGCGTCGTCCTAAGTTGACGTTGAGCGGCAAGGTTGATGGTTCATGCGAGCAGCTTAGCTTGTTGAGATGTGTTATCATAAGTTGAAATTGAACGACAAGGTTGATGGATGTTGAGCGGCAAAATTGATGTATTTCTCCATGCGGTTGTTAGAACATTGCAGCATTGACAGTAGCTTCATCTCGTTGAGTTGATTTTTGTTGAGTTGATTGTGGTGAGTCGCTTGCAAGCCCGAACAGCTCCCAAATTGATCCGTTTCAGCCTGGAAGCAAACAAACAACTCCAAAACAGTCCCGCCTCGGCCCGAACAACTCCAAAACAGCCCCGCTTCGGCCCGAACAGCTCCAAAATAGCCCCGCTTCGGCCAGAACAGCTCCAAAACAGCCCCGCTTCGGCCCGAACAGCTCCAAAATAGCCCCGTATCGGCCCGAATAGCTCCTAAACAGCCTCGGTTCAGCCCAAACAACTCCTGATCAGCCTCGTTTAAGCCCGCCAGTGGTTGGAGAGCCTCGTCTCAGCCCGGACAACAGCCCCGAGCAGCTTACCTTTGCCCGGCAGCTCAGACGTAATTGGAAAAGAAGAAGAAACGAGGAAGATATCAGCAGATTTATTTGTTGGTACCTTTGGGTAATCCGTCGAACACTTTGAAGTCAGAATTTTGGGAAGTTGAGTTTTTCGGGCTCTCTAATATTTCCTACCCAAAAAAAAATTTTCGACTGCAGCATAAACACCACAATTCATCAATCAGTAAAGAAAAAGAAAGAAGAAAGAAGCCACACGTACCTGTTCTTCGGCTTTGAGATGTGAAAAAAATAATAGACCGAGGAGGCCTATTTATAGATACAGAATTTTATTCTTTATCCTCTGAAGGAGAGGGTTCATCATGTGAATTTAGGAAATGTTATATCCTAATATGGTGAGAAATTGGCCTGGAAGCGTGTTTGTTTTGAGGTTGGAAAGAAAATATATATTCATATAGGGTCTGTGTATATAACATATCATTTGAGAATTTTATGTGCTTGGAAAGTCAATATTGACTCACGCGAAGGAAGCAAATATAGAAATAGTGGAAATAATTGGAAAGAAAATATATATTCATATAGGGTCTGTGTATATAACATATCCTTTGAGAATTTTATGTGCTTGGAAAGTCAATATTGACTCACGCGAAGGAAGCAAATATAGAAATAGTGGAAATAATTGTCAGCAACTTGGGACCTAAACAATATTGAGTTTCCATAATGTGCATGCAGCAATTTGAAATTTGTAGCCTGTGAGTTACAAAGTGTTGGCATACGTGGTTAGTTATGGGATGAAATTATATACCTAAGTGGGCCATGCTGACTTTGTCTTGAGATTAAAGACTAATGAAATCTTGCAAATAATAGTTCTAATGGCCGAGATTGGGCTTAAATTGAAATAATTTTGCAATAGCCCACTAGCGTGTCCAATATCGCCATCTTGGATTACTAGCGTGTTAAAAGCCCTCAAATATTGAAGTCTCAAAATCCCAATTTCATGGTTTGAATTATTGAGCCTTTCTAATGACTAAATAACGTCGCGACTCATTCACTCCAAGACACGTTGTCCGTGAACAAGTCTCGAGGGGGCATTTGTAGAGACTTAAAAATTGTGGCCAATCAAATGGCGCCACGTGGAAATTAATTTATTAAAAATCAAGTCATATTTTCTATTTATATTTTAAGAATTCCCATATATTTAATTCTTAAATTTAAATAGTTAATTAATTGATATTTTTATATTTTAATTCTTGACCAATCAAATAACGCCAAGTATCAAATCTTAATTCTTGGTAATAAATCACATGTCTTCTAGAAGATCTTGGGAGATCTAAATGGATCTAAAAGATCTTATGTGAATCATCATGGACCAATCAAATCGCGTCCTACGATTCTTAAATTTGGTAGGGTTCTCCCTCCTACATCTATAAATAGGGGCTCTCCCTAATGTCAAAAGGACACACATCATAATTCATATTCAAAATTCAAGAGCTCTAGAGAATTCTCTCGACGAGATTCAAGTGTTCTTGAAGATTTAAAGGCGTTCTTGAAGAATTTGAAGCAAGATTCAAGCGCATTCAACCTCAAGACTGGCGTTCAATCCGGAAACAAGCTGCAAAGCCTCCGAATAACGTTAGTAAATTCAAAACCGGCGTGGAGAAGATTCAAGATCTACTTTGCGACGAAGACCAAGAATTCGTGTTCTTCGCGTTCTTGGGATATTTCGACGTTTGATCCGAAATCAAGGCGTTGACCCTCGGATTAACGTTAATTCAAGTCAAATCAAGTCAAGGAGAAGATCAAGCCGAAGATTTCGCTCCAAGACTTAAAATTGTTCGTGAGAAGAATCAGAGGAGAACTTAGAGATTGTAACGCATTATATTTATTTTGATTCAAGAAATTTATTTGAATAATATTTTTCGTGTTTTTAAATTCAATACACGAAATTTGTTGTTACACTATTACAACTATTTTAAGGAAAAACTAAGTGTACCGACATGACCAGTACATTTCAAAAAAACTGCAAATACAAAAAATAAGAAGATAAATTAAGTCGATGTCACAGCATCATCATCTTTTCTAGAAGGGTCTGCTCCATCATTTCCCTTCGGAATCTAAAAAATTTTAGGAGCATCGCTGGTCTCACCGACTCTTTCGGCTTTTACAGTCTCTTCAACATCTTCTCCCGTGATCTGCTCATACATCTGTCTGCCGATGCTCTCTAGAACTTGGTCCTCTTCAGCCTTAGCAGCACTTTCAATTTCCGAGACCGTCACCGGGATACGCTCATCATAAACTGGATCTTCCTAGGCAACTCCACGAACCTCGGTCTCTTTTGGTTGTTTAACACCCTGAGGTAGCTCTCGGATTTTTCCCTCAAGAAAGCCAATACTGCTTTTCGGATTTGCTCAGGAGTCATCTTTTCAATTTCTTCCTCCATATTAACCTCAGCCAATGTCTTAACATAGACATCGGCGAGCTCAACCCTCTTTTCCTTCTCGGTCTCTAGAAGCATGTTAACGAAAGACCGACGAAGACGAGCATCTCTTTCCTTGCTCAACAGAGGAAGATGAGGACTTTCCAATTCAGCGCCGACAGAAACAAGGAGCCATTCACAAAACTCCTTTTCATCCTCATCGGCATCAATGCGAGCTGTTTCTATCTTCGGATCGAAGTTGTGCTTCTCAAGCTTGCGGAGGAGATAGAGCCACAACTCCTCGATATCATAAAGGCCTTCATCAAACCGTTCAATAACCCAACGGAGATTGAGGCACGTGTTCATCTCAAACTCCCGATCTTCATCTTCGGAGTCAGATTCAGCAACCACCTTGCCTTTCTCGGCCTCAGCCTCAAGAATTCTCCCGGCACGAAGACCATCATTATATTTCAGCTCAGCAAACTTAATCTTTTCCTCTTGAAATCTACTGAGGTCGGCACGGTGGGCTTCTCGACTCTTCAACAACAATTCTTCCGCTTCAGCACGCTTGTTCCGAGTAAATTCATGAGCTTCTTGCTCCTTGCGCAGCAAAATTTCACATCGAGCAAGCTGATCCTCCAAAGTCTTGACATGCTCCTAAGATGCAATTACTTGGCCTGACAGTCGGAGCACCTCATTATCAAGACCAGCCTTCTCGATCTTCAATGTCTCAATTTCGCCTTGAGCAATCTCAAGCTGTTGATCGTGCTCAGCAACCTTTGTCTTCAAAGCCGTCTCTTTGGCAACTGCCTCTTCCTTCAGGGATGCGATTGCTCCATCCTGAAGCTCCAAAGTGTGTCTCTTCTAATCAACTTGAGCCGCATTCAACCGAAAATCGTCCTCGGCCATAACCAAACTGACAAGCGCACGACCGAGACATGCTTTCGCATACTTGAATTTATATACACTCGGTAATGAAGGAATGCCGATTTTGGCTCTCGGATCCCACACCATCATTGGAACCCGAGCAGCATAAATGACGTGGCCCGGTAGCTCGACTTTGCTCTGAATGTCGGGAATCTCCACCGACTCGAAAGTCGAGAACCACTTCTCAATCGATTCCCGGGGCTGTTTGAAATTCATTGCCCTCTCCTCGTCAATGGGCAAAAAGGACCTATCAACCAACGGCTCCTTCTTCTTTTTTTCGCGCTGACCGACATCATGCTTTTCCTTAGATCGTCCCTCACCAGCTGGGACACTTTCAGCATGTCTCTTCCTTTGTCCAGTCAGCGCAACTTCTTGTTCTTCGACTGCCTCCCGGTCACCCTCCGCTTCATCGGAGATCACCTCAATAACCGGTTGGATCTCCGTCTGATCAGTTTCCAAGATCGGTTCCGTTCTCGACGAACCAGCGATCGCAGTAGCAATGGCTGCAATGGGGCCCGCGGCCGCTATAGCCAAAGGATTTGGAACCACTTCTATTGCAGCTCCCGACGTCGCACCATCTCCGACATCAACACTCTTGTTCATAATTGGGTTCTTAAAAAATGCTTTCACTAGCTTCTTGCGACCCATCTCGGACAGACGCTGCTCTTTACTCTTCCCGACTTTAG